AGGATAGCTTTGTAATAATTATCAAAAACTTTAAAAATGCTGCTCTGTTTTAATGGTTCTGGTAATGTTAGGCTAAATTAAGTAAATAAATCCTCCCAGTGAAAATAACTAAAAGAGTTGTATTTTAAAAATATTCTTAAAGCATAAAAGGGTATGAAAGATAGTAAAGAATTACTTGACTAAAGGTGAAGGAAAAATGGGAACCCAAATATGGAGGCTGTTCTGCCCTGGGGAAATTTTCTAACTCATGACAATTAGAATCTTCATCCTGATAGACTTGCAGGGCAAAGGAGACAGAAAGCAAAGCCCAAGACATGTATAAGACAGAAAATCTAATAGAAGATCCTCCCCAACAAGATACTGGGACTCAAAGCCCTTGAGTGTTTACTGCTTGTATTCAAACTGCCTGGGTTAGTAAATTTCAAGCCTTGAACTTGGGTTAAAGTCATTCTAAATTAGTAGTGCCAGAGCAAATACACATCTTCTTTGAAATAGGATACATTTATCATAGGCCTAAAATCATTTCTAGAAGTAATTCTTCCAATGTAATGTTCAGCACATAATCAAAGAAACCAGATACACAAGGAAACTAGATTAAATGGGCAAGAATCAGCAGAGACAATAGACAATAAAAACAGACTCACAAAGACCTCAAATATTGAATATATCAGACTCAGAGTATAAAATAAGACTACAAAACAATTATGAAGAGTGTGTTTAAAGACAAAAGACCAACTTGATGCTATCTATAGAGAACAGAAAACCACAAAGAGTAATGTAGCAAGTTGACTTTGAAAAAAGAAGCAGATAGAATTTTATTGTGATTTAAAATATATTTATATTTTATAAATAAAAATAAATTTTATAGCTAAAGTTTTAAAATAAAAATTTAAAATCCAACAGATTTTAAATGTATATTACATTAGACAAACTTCAAGATTTAGTGAACCTGAAGAATCAGAAGAAATATTCCAGAGGCAAGAAAAGAAAAAAGTATATATAAGAAGGTAAAAGACACAGAAGATATAGTGAGAATGTCTAACATAGGTTTGGCCAGGGTTCTAGAAGGAGAAAAAAGATTATCTGAAAAGTTAACTGCTGAGGATTTTTCAAGCTGACATGACTTCAAGGCACTGATTTTAAGAAGTCTTATGAACTGAAAGCATAATAAATGAAAAGCAATTCATACCTAAGTTCACTAAAACAAAATTTCTTAAAACTGAAGACTAAGAAACATTAAAAAGGTCCAGGCCAAGTGCAGTGGGCCACGCCTGTAATCCCAGAATTTTGGGAGGCCAAGGTGGGTGGATCACCTAAAATCAGGAGTTCAAGTCCAGCCTGGCCAACATGGCAAAACCCCGTCTCTACTAAAAATACAAAAATTAGCTGGGCATGCTGGTGGGTGCCTGTAATCCCAGCTACTCTGAAGGCTGAGGCAGAATAATCACTTGAACCTGGGAGGCAGAGAGGTTGCAGTGAGCTGAGATGAGCCTGGGTGACAAGAGTGAAACTCTGTCTCCAAATGAATGAATGAATGAATGAATGAATCCAGAGAAAATAAAACTACTTTCAAAAGAGCAATAATATACTAACAGCTAACTTTCCACTAGTAAAAATGGGTAAGAGGAGACAGTGGAATATTATTTTCAATGTGCTGAAACAAAACAGTTACCAACCTAAAATCAGTATATAAAATAATGACATTTGAGATACACTAGAGGAGACATATTTTGCCACTATCAAATCTACAATGACAGAAATTTTAAGGCATGTATTTCAGGTAAGAGGAGAAAAAATTCACTTGGAAAGTCTTAGATACAAGGAATTAAGAGCAAAGAAAATGGAAAAGGTTTAAGTAAATCCAATGTTTAAGTGTATAAAATAATAATAATATCATCTTGTGGACTTTAAAAAATACAAACTTAAAATACACAACAGTAGCATATAAATCAGGAAAGAATATATGGAGTTCAAGTGTTCTGATTTCCTTATATTATTAATGATAAATTTTGATAAATTAAAAATGTATAATATAACTTTAAAGGTAATCAATAAAATAATACAAAGGATATGATTTAAAACTGGTAAAGAGGAGGATTTGATACATAAAAATCAGATATCAATTTAAAGGAGAACAAAAAGGAGAGAAGAAGAAATGTAATAGATCAGACAAATGAAATCACTTTTGAAGATGGCATATTTAATTCTAAATATAGTAGTAAGAAATGTAAAAGGATTAAATGGTCTGGTTAAAAGTTAAAGATCCCAGCCCTTTGGGAGGCTGAGGCGGGTGGATCACGAGGTCAAGAGATCGAGACCATCCTGGTCAACATGGTGAAACCCCGTCTCTACTAAAAATACAAAAAATTAGCTGGGCATGGTGGCGCGTGCCTGTAATCCCAGCTACTCGGGAGGCTGAGGCAGGAGAATTGCCTGAACCCAGGAGTTGGAGGTTGTGGTGAGCTGAGATCGCGCCATTGCACTCCAGCCTGGGTAACAAGAGAGAAACTCCGTCTCAAAAAAAAAAAAAAAAAGTTAAAGATTGACTATTAAAAAAAATCCAACTGCTATTAATAGGAGACACATTTGAAATATAATAATAAAGGTTGAAATTAAAAGGAAAATACATACCTTGTAAATACCAACCAAAAGAAAGCTGATACGTCTAGAGGAAAACATCAGACAAAACACTTTAAGGCAGAAAGCATTACTACAGATAAAGAGGGATACTTTATACTTATGAGAGGTTTCAATTAGCCAAATGGATATTGTTTTTCATTCACGTGAATCTTAAGACTATGAGAAAGTCTCAAGATTTTAGATAGCAAAAGTTGAGAGACTACAAAGAGAAATAACATAAATTACCATATATGTGTAGAGGTGAGCATATTATAAATTTGGTATGTACAACTGCAAAATATACATTCTTCTCAAGCATATGAATGGAATTTTAAATACAAATATATAGATAAAGATAAAAATTGACAAGGCTTTTCCCCCTCCCAGCTAGGTAGCGATTTTCATTATTCCAAAGTTCATTTGGAACACACATAACACATTATCTGTGTACATAAAAGCAGGTTAGATAGTCAGGCTCCACTTGAGTTTTATAAGCAATGCAAACACACCAATATTGGGCACTAGTAAGAGCCAACTCTGTAGAGAATCTATCAGATAAACTAGTTTATCTCCTTTAATTTAATTCTCATTCTGTCAGTATTGTTATGCCTAATTTGGAAAAAAGAACTAACACTCAGAGAGATTAAAAAAATTTTAAGATCATCTTTTTTTTTTGAGATGAAGTATCACTCTGTCACCCAGGCTGGAGTGCAGTGGTGCAATTTCAGCTCACTGCAACCACCGCCTCCTCAGTTCAAGTGATTGTTCTGCCTCAGCCTCCTGAGTAGCTTGGATTACAGGCAAGTGCCACCACATCCGGCTAATTTTTATATTTTTTGTAGAGATGGGGTTTGACCATGTTGGCCAGGCTGGTCTTGAACTCCTGACTTCAGGTGATCCACACCCATCCCGACCTCCCAAAGTGCTGTGTTTACAGGCATGAGCCACTGCACCCAGCCAAAGATTCACCTCGTTAGTAAATGACAGTGCTAGGATTCAAATCTACTCTTTATTAGCAATGAGCCAGCTCCAGAAAATACTTATTCATTTGAGGGTGGAAGTAGGGCGGTAAGCATTCTTATAGAAGGATCTCTAATAATATTAGGAAGCTATCTTTGTACAACATTGACAAACATTTAAGTGTCTGCAATATAGTGGAATTACATATTGAGCCAAAGAAGTGGCTAAAATAGTTTGAGAGAGGCTTAGAAGACAGAGTTAGTACTAGTGATTTGTAATGTGAGAATGGTTGAGGGTAAAGAACTATCATGTATCCAGCACAAAGAAATTAAAAAGCCTCTTCTATTTGACATCTTATGCTGTTGAAAATCCTTTTCTTCTAGTTCAAGTTCACTATTTTCCCATTGCTTGTAGGTCTTGAAATGAATTACAATCTCGACCATCTTTCATGATCAAATGAAAGTCCATATACATTCCCTCGGCTTTCAAGTTTTTAGAATGTGTATTATCTATTTTACTGCTCAATACAGGGAGGAAAACATAGATAAGTATAATTATAGGGTGTATCAGTCAATTATTTAAATCTATTAAATATCTGAATAATTAGGCCCATTTCATCTTCTATCAACTATTTTAATATTTGTTCAGCTGAACTCCATGCCTCAAGTCTCATACCACTCTCTTACCTTTTCCACACCTTTCCCTCAACCTCACAGCTGCATTGCTCCAACACAGCCATTACAGTTATTGTCTCAAAGCAAGTATTTAATTATATCATTTAAATGCTTTAAAAAAATTAGTAGCTTTCCCTTGAAAATATCCACACTCAACTTACTGTGGTTATAATGGGCTTTGCAATCTCACTCCAGTTTATCTTTCCAGTCTCAGCTTCTCCATTCCTCACACCCTCTTAGGACAAAATTAACAGACTGATGGCCCATTTAGGTAGAGTACTGCACTGTGTTGTCATGCCTGTGTGATAAGAAACTGAAGCCAGCAAGGCTAAACAGCCTATTTAAGTCACACAGTAAGAAAATGGCAGACCTAGGATTCAAACTCAGATCTGACTGACTCCATCATGAGCATAACCCAGTATACTACATTGCCTTCTTCTGTCTTTTACATGTTTTGTGAATTTTGCTTTAACCATATGAAACAAAATTAATTTTGAGCATATTAAATGGTATGCATAATCACTACTGTCTTGCATCATATTGGATATAAAAATAAGCCAGTCATCCAAGAAATTATTCTGTTATTTCTGTAGAATTTAGAGTTGCCATTAGTGTCAGTAGTCTTTCTTCACCTTAGACACTTAATAATACCTTCTTTTAAGACTCACTATGTGCCATGCATTGTGATAAGTATTTTATATACACAATATGTAATGCCCAAAGTACCCTATGAGATAATTATTTCTTTTTCCATTTTTGATGAGGAAACTGAGGATTAAAAAGGCTAAATAAATTTCTTAAGATTAAACAGCTAGTAGTGGAGCAGGAACTCTACTGAACTCAAAACCGTCTCACTTTAAAGTCTGTGCCCTCAACTAACTACCCTATATAATCTCTCTTTAAATGTCCTAGATTGAACTTGTCAATAAACTTGATCCTATCCTCTTCATCGTATGCCTAAAATTCCTTGTTTCTTAAACATGCAGTTTTTCTCTTGCAGTCTTTCCTACTAAGTAGCTGACCAGCTTCTTTCTGCTCCCATTCTTCTAGTATCCTAGGTACTAAACAGCTTAAAATAGCAGACTCCTGTCATGAGTTGGGGTTTATTTACCCTATAGGAAATGGCTTCAGAGGAAGAAAATGGGAGTGATCTAAGCCATGGGTCAAGTTGCTGAGGTGGGAAGAAAAGATTTCCAAGGGCGTATGATAGAAGAAAGGCTTTCCTATTCCTTTCATTTGCCTGCACTAAGACTCCCAAATGCCTAGGATCTAGAACTCCTTATGACTTTGTTTACTCTCTTTTGTACTCAGGCAGGGTGGGCTTCAGATCTGTGGATTGCAGCAACAGAAACTGTGATACTTTTTAAAAAAAATTTGGTAGCTCACTATTTTAGACATCAATTCATTTACAGATGTCAGGCATTGATCTAGATACTGGATCAAAACAAAGCTGAGAACAAAACAAAGAACCTACCTTCCTGGATTTTATAGCTTGCTGAGAGACAACAGACAATTAACAAATACATAATATAGTGGCAAATAGTGATAAATGCTATGAAGAAAAATAAAGTAGGGTAAAGGGACAGAAAATGATGAAGGTATCCTTTGGGCAGAAGAGAAAAAAAAAGAAAATGATGAAGGGTGATGGTGGGGTAGGGCTGCTAATTTAGTTTGGGTGGTCAGGAAAGATCCTTCTGAGGTGGTATTTGAGTAAGATCCACAAATAAATTTGAGAAACAAGATGTCAGCATATCCGAAGAAAAAACATTCTGGCAGAATATACAGCCTTGAGGTGGAAGTGAGCTTGTCATGTTCGAAGAAAATAAGGAGTCCATGTAGATGGAGCAGACTGAATGAGGAAAAGAGTAGTGGGAGATGTGGTTTAAGACTATCCAGGGACCAAGGGAAGCCACTTGAAGATTCTGAACAAAAGAGTGAAAGAGTCAAATTTATATTCAAATAGGATAGATATGTCTTGCTGCTGAATAAAGTACACAATATAAGGAGGCAAGGATGGAAGCAAGAGACCAAATAGCATAACAGTGGTAGAGAATTTGAGAAGATTCAGATTCAGGAAATCCTTTGAAGATAGAGCTAATAAGAACTGCTAATGGATTGAATATGGAGTGTTCAGCTTTAGCCAAAAGTCTTTGGGTTTTGGCTGAGGCAGCTAATTGAATGAAGGTGCCATTTACTGGGATGAAGAAAACTGAGATGGGGATTAAGTTTAGGAGAGGAAAATAAGAGTTTGGTTTTAGATTTGTGAGAGACTGACTTTCAAGTTCTTGGGGAGAATGGGCCTCTAGTAGCTGCAGCTGGTGTTAACCTTTTACAGGGGCATGTCTAAGCGGAGGTGAGGGGGCAGAGAAACAGAAGAAATAAAGTTCCCTTTGAGTAATCTCCCAGATATTCAAGTGATAAAAAAAAGCAGGTTAGTCATCTCAGCCTGACTTATACACACTGATTTCAGGGCAAGAAAAAATCTCTTCTCTCTTCAAAAAATATTCCAATTTCTATTGTTTCAAAATTTCTGAATTTAAATTAAGTTTATCCCACAATTAGCGGTAGCATAAAATGTAAATAGCTTGAGAGAGAATCCAATGTGTATGAGTTTTTATCAAAGTATAACTGAGAGCAGATGAAGTCCCAAATGTTTAAAATAAGAAAATGTTTTTGTGAAGAGAAAGGATGTAGATATTAAATAAAACAAAGATTTTATTATTTTGCTTTGGCACTGCCCTATTTATCATAATTTTTAAGTGAGAAACTACAGAGTGTTTGTATCTTGAAGTATCATCTAAGTTTATACCCAAGGGGGGGATTATGCATTTAAATTGTTTCTCTTCCTCACATTTTATTCCTTTCTATCCTTTAACCTTTACTCTTTTCCCAAAAATGTTCTTCAACTAGAAGTCCTGTGGCTTGATTGAGACTTGTTACCTCTCTTCTAGGGCCAGATATCAAACAGGTGGCCCCTGGAGAATGCTACTTATCTGTGCAGTTCTCCATTTGATGTTGCAGTGTGCTGGTATCCTAGGGGAAGGGTACCACATTTAACACCAGAAAGGATTTAAGGCAGCTTTGCAATTTTTTTCTAATTATCAGAGTAACATAAGATTATTGCAAAATATTTCAACAAAAAAGTAAAAAAAAAAAAAAAAGAGAGAGAGAGACTATTTGAATTCCTACTTACTAGAGGCAATCCCAACATTTTGGCATATTTCCTTCCACTGTCTTATGCATTTTGTTTTTTTCATAACTGAGCTCTTTATTGTATAGGCATTTTTGTTACCTGCTGTTTTTGCTTAATTATTGTATATATGTTTGCCCCTATCATTACATTTTTTTAGCTACACAATCACCCATAACATCGCTACACCATAGTTTACTCAAGGTGGCTTCTGATTATTTATAATTACAAATAATACTGCGATAAATAGCTTTGTGCATAAATCTTCACTTTTCTTTTGGATGACTAAAGGAGGAATTGGTAAATTAAATGTATACTTTTTGTAAAGCTTCTGATACAAATTGTTACAATGATTTCTAGAAAGGTTGTTAAATTATACTTGGGAAGGGAAGGAGAGAGCTATTGGAACTATTGGATCTGGTAGAAAATATCTGACAGCAATTCTTACAAAGTACTATGCCCCTGGAAGAACTCTTTCTCTCTCTGGAAAAGGGATTATTTTAAAGTATTAAAATTATTACATCAGATTTGCCACACCACACAATATATATGGGTCGTCAGGCAGAAAGGAGAATTCAGAATTTGAATTAGAAGTCATACATAAGCTGACACATCAGAAATGACCAACTTGGGAAACTAACACTGTTAAAGGACTCAACTATTTTAAGCGGTGGTTCAGATATTAATTTTGATTATACAGTATCAGGTTTAATTTTGTATGATTTCATGCTATTTAATGAGAGACAATGAGTGTTTTTCAAACTGTGGTTCCTAATCCATTTGTAAATTATAAAATCAATGTATTTTCTATGTTATTTTTAAAAAACAAAATAGAATGAAAAAATATGAGAATGCACTGCGATCATTTCAATGTGTGATTTCATAATTTACAAATGGATTAGGACCCACAGTATTATTCTGTGATACTTTTGTTTCAGTTACATGTGTATATATTATAGAACACATTTATTACTGTGGGATGTGATTAAGGACAAAAATAGTTTGAAGCTACTGGGCTTTGGAATTAGCCAGAGCAAGTTTGAATCAGAGCTCTGCATGGCTTTTACCCATTATCTAACTTCTAAATGACTCAATCACCACATTGAAAAAAGAGAGTAATAATATATCCTTTCTGGTTTGTGTGTGTGCATGTTGCGTGTGTGTATGAAGATTACATATTACTTAAGCAGAATGCCTAAAATATAGTCAATGATTAATATATAATTACTTCCAAATCTTTTCCCAAATAATGTCCTCCTTGTAAAAGTACTTCCTTCACTGAAGGAAGACAAGGTGTTTTATTGATGACTACATCTGTTATGCTACAGTCTACTTTTAAAACACCTCTGTCAGTCTTTTTCTCCAATTTGGTTTAGTAGAAAGATGAGCACATAGTTCTTTCCCCTTCCTGTTCTCTCATTGTACTTAACTATATTATGGATTTTGGCTCTTTACATCTGTTATAGATGGTCTAATTGTTGCCTAGATCAGTTACCAAACACTTTCAAACCTCATCTAGTTCTTAAAATAGTGGCGGGCGCATTGCAGGGTGCCAGATGAAAATCGGTTGAGTTTGCTCTACAGCACACCTTTTGCAAAGTATCACTTGTGGTGTACCGGGAAGCAGCTGTAATGCTGATTCCGCCGGCATTTCTCACTCAATCTACTCCATGCTAAACAGGCCAGTTAGGCATTAAGTCATGCTCTGGGTAGTACAAGTGGAAAGTGTGAACAGAGAAACCACTTTAGGTGAGGACAGTGGAAAATGAGATCCTCCTTTCCTCTCCCCACTCCTGGTCCCATCCAGGAGGGGCACTTAAGAGTGCGGAGGCCCAGGGACCAGCCGCGCACGGGCGTCCCAGCTTGGAGGCTGGCGGCGGGCAGGCACGCTCTCCTGCGCTGAGAGCCCTTCTGAGGAGATGAACTCTCGAGTGCCGCCGCCGCGCGCGGGCCCGATCGATAACCGGCGGGCAGACGTGCTCCCGCCTCTGAGGGCAGCCACAGGATGTTGGAGTTAGCTGCCCGGCCGCTCGGTCGCACTTCTCATCAGTTCAATACCCGCAGAGGAGGTGCACCGGTTCCCTTGCGGACACCCACCCCGTGGTCTCCGCCGCACCCCTGCCCACCGCCCCTTCCCCTCGGCAGTTCAGCGCAGGGCGGGAGGTTTTCAGTCAGACGCCCTCGCCTGGCGGGAAGCCGGGTCCCGGCCCGCGTGTAGGGCGTCGTGAGGTAGTCTCTCCGCCCGGCTCCCCAGTGGGGCGCTCCGCGGAAGCGGCCGAGGCGGGGAATGTCTAGCTCCCTTACACTCTGAACCTTACCTTCTGGCGTCTTCGCCCAGGAGGCGGCGGGGGGAGGCGGACCCAGCTGGCCTCAGGGGCAGGTCCGCGGCGCTATTAGGAGGGGCTGAGCGTGCGCCGCCGAAGCCAGATTCGTCTACTCGGGTGAGTCAAGCCGAGAGAAAGCCCCGCCCCCGGGGCCCGCTCCCACTCCTGATTGGCCGGACCAGCCCGGGGCGGCCAGGCGGGGCCCCGGCGGGAGTCTCAGCTATAAAGACAGCCCCGGCATGAGAGCCGCTGCGAAGCTCTTCTAGTTCATCCGCTGGCGGGCTCTCAGCGTCCGTGGAGCCTCTTTCCTCCTGTCTCCTAGCGCTCTCGACTCCACCATGCCAAGGGGCTTCCTAGTGAAGCGAACTAAACGGACAGGCGGCTTATACCGAGTTCGGCTTGCGGAGCGTATCTTCCCTCTGTTGGGGCCCCAGGGGGAGCCGCCCTTCCTGGAGGAGGCTCCCAGCGCCTCCTTGCCCGGTACTGAGCGGGAGGCGCCCCCCACCCAGGAGGAACCAGGAAAGGGGCTGACGGCGGAGGCGGCCCGGGAATTGTCGGGGTCTCCATGTCGAGCGGCTGGGGTGAGCCGGGGGGCGGGCGGGCGGGAAGGCGCGGAGTGGCGGGCGGGTGTCAGGGAAGGTCCCGGGCCCAGCCCCAGCTCTAGCCCCAGCCCCAGCCCCAGTCCCGCGAAGCCGGCGGGCGCAGAGCTGCGTCGGGCGTTCCTGGAGCGCTGCCTCAGCTCGCCCGTCTCCGCCGAGTCCTTCCCCGGGGTCGCCGCAGCCGTTGCAGCTTTCTCCTGCTCCGTGGCACCAGCAGCCGCACCGACCTCGGGGGAGCAGTTCCTACTGCCTCTCCGGGCGCCGTTCCCAGAGCCCGCGCTTCAGCCGGACCCTGCGCCCCTCTCGGCCGCCCTGCAGGGTCTGAAGCGGGCGGCCGGAGGTGAGTGCCGCGCCAAGGCACCCACGGGCTGCGCGTCTGGACCCGCGACCGCGGGAATCAAGAAGCCAAAGGCCATGAGGAAGTTGAGCTTTGCCGATGAGGTGACCACATCCCCTGTCCTGGGCCTGAAGATCAAGGAGGAGGAGCCCGGAGCGCCGTCTCCGGGGTTGGGGGGCAGCCGCACGCCGCTGGGAGAGTTCATCTGCCAGCTCTGCAAGGAGCAGTACGCAGACCCCTTCGCGCTGGCCCAGCACCGCTGCTCCCGCATCGTGCGCGTCGAGTACCGCTGCCCTGAGTGCGACAAGGTGTTCAGCTGTCCTGCGAACCTGGCCTCCCATCGCCGCTGGCACAAGCCGCGTCCTGCAGCTGCAAACGCCACCACAGCCTCCTCCGCCGACGGGAAGCCGCCTTCTTCGTCGTCTTCGTCCTCCCGGGACTCGGGGGCCATCGCATCTTTTCTGGCTGAGGGAAAGGAAAACAGCCGGATAGAGCGGACTGCGGATCAGCACCCGCAGGCTAGGGACAGCTCCAGGGCGGATCAGCACCAGGACAGCGCCGCAAGGCAGGGCCTCCAGGTGCTGACACACCCAGAGCCACCGCTACCACAGGGCCCCTACACGGAGGGGGTGTTGGGGCGCCGGGTGCCTGTGCTGAGCAGTACCAGTGGTGGCGGGGGATCTGAGATTTTCGTGTGCCCGTATTGCCACAAAAAGTTCCGTCGCCAAGCCTATCTGCGCAAACACCTGAGCACTCACGAGGCGGGCTCGGCCCGTGCGCTAGCGCCGGGCTTTGGCTCCGAACGCGGTGCCCCACTCGCCTTCGCTTGCCCGTTGTGCGGGGCGCACTTCCCGTCCGCAGATATCAGGGAGAAGCACCGGCTGTGGCATGCCGTCCGCGAGGAGCTGCTCCTGCCTGCTCTGGCGGGGGCTCCTCCCGAAACGCCGGGCGCAGGCGGGCCATCTGACGAGAGTGCCCAGCAAATTTTCTCGTGCAAGCACTGCCCGTCCACTTTTTTTAGCTCTCCGGGGCTAACCCGGCACATCAATAAGTGCCACCCCTCAGAAAGCCGGCAAGTGCTGCTGCTACAGATGCCACTGCGGCCTGGCTGCTGAGAGCCAAGAGACAAGGATGATTTCGAGGCCGGCCTTAGAGGAAACAGATGATGGGAATTTTTGTGGGGCTTTCTTCAACTTGCAAGTTTACTTTCATTCCTTCCTATGTTTTCTCTCCTAAAATTCTCCCTATAGTCAGTGATCCACCAGAAGAACGGCCAGTGAAATGTAAAATCCCTCTTTAGAGCAGGTATGTATATGGTACAAACCCTTGAGATCAAAGACTGTCAGCTTTAAATCCTTCTCACTTTCCCCACTAAAATAGGATTTTTTCCCCCTTAAAACTCTTGAGACCCTAACGAATCCTATATGATTTGTAATTCCTATGGAAAGTCGCGGTGAATGCGTGCATGTCTCAATGTCCACAAAGGGTTCTGGCTACTCTTTGGTAGTCACCATTTTTTTTTCTCTTGCTATCACAGGCGCCTGTGTAGCTTCTGTCTCAATAGGGTCAGATATTTTGCATTGTATATTCTGTGAATTAAGTTATGTGATTGGTGCCAAACTTAAACAGATTCAAGACCTGTGTCTGTGGGCAGAAAATGTAAGAGGAGGTTTGCAGCTTTTAGGGTGTGTGGGGCTCTCCCCTGTGAACTTTCCTTCGCCCAGTTATATGTACATTCTTAAGTTGGTGTTTGGAGGTGGGGAGTTGAGATGCCCCCTAAAATTCTCACCTTCAGCTATTTTGTGTGCAGTATTCAGGAAAAGCTACTTCAGACCTTTCCTTAAATGGCTTTTTGGAAATACAGAAGTCGTTTCCTCAAGTTTGACTGTTTTAATGGGGTTTCACCCAAATTGTTTAATGCTTCTGCTGTAAATCTCACTGTGTATTCATGATGAAACTATGTACAGCTTAAGGAAGATGTTAACACCTATAATCCACTAAGGAACTGAATGGCAATTTGCTCAATATTCAGTATTTTCTTTTCAGCAACTTGTTTTTGAATCTTTTTTTGGTAAACCATTTCCGTGTACATTCTGTACTAATTCCCTGCTAGCCAGAGTTTGGGACACTGGCTGAGCACTGCTTGACAGATAGCCCGTATCTGTAAGATGCTTACCACCAAATAAATGTACATAGACTGTGCTTTTGTTGTGTTCTGTGTTTGTCTTAAGAATTCTGTTGAACACAGCCTATTTTCAAAGTTACGTTTCTTAACTCCCCAATGTCAATATCCTGTTTTAGAATGTTAGTGACCCATTTGGACAGAATACAAAGACGGAAATATTGTATTTTGCAAATGAATGCAGTGGTGTAGGAATGCAATGGAAAATTTTCCTTTGAAGTATAGCTGCAAAGACTGAGCACCAAAAGGCAAGGAATATGTACTAGTCTTTAAATCTAAAAAAGACATCCCCCCAAGAAATGCCAATGGAAAATATATTTTAAATATATATACGTATATATTTAAAGCTAGTGAACAGTGTTAGCTGAAGATGAAAAAAATATTTTAATGGTGCTACTTTCACTATTTCAGGTTCATATTTTTACTCCATATTGTTATTTATCATCAATCCATTAGATTTTTATTGATAGCACTTTAGAAACATGTATGCAGTTACTCTGATTTTCCTTTTTGTAATTCTTCACATTGGCTGTAGGACATTGTCTATATTGTCCAAGGACTCTTTATCCATTTGTTTATCTTTTACATTAGCTTACATAGGACTTTTAGTTTTCCCATTTATAAGAAGCAAAAAAATTGAGTGCACAGAAGTTCTGAAAGGCTTAGAAAACTTGTCAGTACAAAGTTTTATTGCTGAATATATATTATAAAACAAAGTAAAATTTAAGAATTAAAAAAAAAAATGAAGCTGAGCTAAACTAATGTTCTAACCAGGTGCATTGGATGAAGTTTCTGACCAGTCTTTATGAAGCTGTAAAATTTCCTGTGTTTGTAATGACTGTGGTAGGATCTCTGAGAAATAAGTTGGAATGTATCTTGAAAGGGGAATTCAAGTTCATTTTCATGATTAACTATGATAATCTAGGTTCATGTTTTAAATCTCCCCACTAATCATATAGCCCTGCTTATTGAAAATATATGAAATATAGAAGACAAATCAACACTCATGCATAGGAAGTGATAAGAATATTTTTATTGTATTATTAAATACCATGTCATCTTTTCCCCCCACTGTTACAAATTATAGATACTACATAAATGATGATACATAATTTATATTTTATGGTTTGCCAGTATGATGTATTTACACATGCAGTTAGTACCAATGTCATGCTACATTTCCTCAGAAGATGCCCATTCAAAACAAAATGTGAGCAGCTTATCTACTGTAAGAAAATACTTCTAGAGGGTGGAATGTATACCAACCTGCACCTGCAAGTTCAGTATTAACAATATTAGACTCCTGGGTCATATTCCTTTTTCTTTTTTTAATAATACACATAATTTGAACAACATATTTATATCAGAAATTTTTCTTTCTTTTTTCCCCTATCTTCTTTTTGGTGTTTAAAAATGAACACAGATACACCAGGATCTAGCAGCCAATAATAAAAGGACACAATCTGAAAACAAATGGCATTTAGCCGTGATACCACTTAAAATGCAAAACATTAGAAAAATACTTGGAAGCTAAACATAAATCAAAGTTCAGCACAATGATTTTTCTAGTTATTGGATATAACATGGCATCACCCACACAGCCAATAAATGAGATATTGCTTTGGGAAGAAACGGTTAATACTAAAGTGATTTCAGTTGGAATTTGAGATGCTAAAGATCATTTATTTTGAGCATTTTATTTTTATAACATAAATAATCTGTACACATTCTGTGTGTTAACAGGTGCATCTTTTGCTATAACTTTACAAATGCTTAAATTTAAAATTTTATTTGTAAAAGAAATTATATATTTATTGAACCATAAAGTTGCAATGGGGCACAATAAATAGAATAATGACTTGTCCAATTATATTTTGGCTCAAAGTTAACCGTGAAATTAAAGATTAAAACCACTTAGACATAATTAGGAAGATAAAGGATGTAGAACAAAACTCTCCCCTGCCCTCAAAATATGGCAGCTTGGACTGTGGGAAAAAATGAAACAATAAATAACCCAAATCTTTAATATTAAGTTACAAATTATTTAAAGTTATTTAAATCCAGTGTTTTCTCAAACAAATGTACAGGAAGAAACATGCATGTTATGGCAGACATGAAGGCCTGAAAGGGTAAACCCTATGTTCGTGCTAAGGTGACTACAGCTGATCACTGTTGGGCTGCTTGTCTCCTTAGGATTTATTGGCTGAGCCAGAGGAACGACGCAGCTTCATGGACATGCGGCTTTTGCTAGTTCGAGGAGACATTGGAGAGGCCAGGTCAGCCCCATCTACCTGCGTTGCTGTGGAAGTTTCACTGGGTAGAATCTCTGGGTAGGAGCCTGTAGGAAACAGGAAGAGCATTACTACAGTTATCCAACCTCTCATCCCCTAAGAAATAATCTTTCTGCTACTAATCAGCAGCAAGGATCCATCCCTTAATAAGGTCTTTTGAGGGAAAAAGCAAGCCCCAAACTTGCTTGTTACAATAGCCTACTAATGTATTTAAGACCCAGCAATCTGGTGGCTCATGTCATTCTATTAGCAAAAAGCGCCAATCATCATTCCCAGGAGTAGAACCCTGGAAAAAGCAGTGGGAAGCAAAAATCTTTGGGATAGAAAGAACTATAATCCAAAGCACCATTAGCATGCAGGGAAGGGCTCAGGAAGCAGATGAAAAGGACCAGTTCCTATCTCTAGGATTCAGGATACAACCAAGAAAAGGGCCTTCACTACTTAAACTTGAAAAACAGAACCAAACAGTTCCAAACAGTTTTGAAACCATGGGTTTCAAAAACGAACTCAGTTTCACTAGAGGTCCTTATAAACAAAACAAAAAAAGGAACTCAGCATTATGGGATCATATATACATGCTAGGTATTTAAATAAGATTTTAAGGAGGAGCAAGATAAATTTGTGGGCCAGGGGAGGACAGGATTCTCATCTGAAAGTCAGTTAAAAAACGGCAAACTGACTCCCCTAAAATGTCTTAATTTAAAAGAGATAAACAATGCTTTTGTTTTCATTAACTTAAACTTTTACAGGTATACTATTCAATCATAAGCAAGCAGGTAATCAGCAGTATTAGTAGATACACAATTTTTAAAGTAAAACAAAATCAAGTAGGAAAGTTCTTTGTATCATTTATAAAATAGTATTTCACCTCTGTACTTTATTTCTACGAATCATTCTCTAATATGCAGGAATACTACAGAATCTTTTACATTGTAGGCTCTCAAATATTTTCTAAGCAAAATGAGTCATTAATTAAAATCACATTAAAAATAAAAGTCCCTCAGGAAAAAAAAATCTGAAAACAACAAAAAATTCTGGATATTTTAAGGCATTTTAATCCAGATTTTCTGGGTCTTAAGTACATGAAAATTTTCTTTATGTGTGTTACAAACAAAAATACCACAGAGGTTGCAGGTTTAACTGAATACATACATCTCCTTACTTTACGGGGAGACTTAGCATATTTGTTAGCCAATGTAGCACCTCCTTGACACTTCAAACTAGGAAATAATTATGCTAGCACTTTCATATATATGAAATGTTTGTGTTTAAACTGAAGTTACTGAATGTTCATTGGAAAAACAAAAAGTTCAATAAGGGGTGAAGATCTATAGAGATATCTTAAGCAATTAAGAATGTGTCTTTGGCTGGGCGGTGGCTCACGCCTGTAATCCCAGCACTTTGGGAGGCTGAGGCGGGTGGATCATCTGAGGTCAGGAGTTCCAGATCAACCTGACCAACATGGAGAAACCCTGTCTCTACTAAAAAATACAAAACTAGCCCGGCATGGTGGTGCATGCCTGTAATCCCAGCTACTCGGGAGGCTGAGGCAGAAGAATTGCTTGAATCCAGGAGGCGGAGGTTGTGGTGAGCCAAGATTGTGCCATTGTACTCCAGCCTCGGTTGTATGTCTTTGTAGAACACTTAAAACTTCCTGAAGATCTGAATTGGTTCATAGCAGACCCATACTGGAAAATTTACAGGAGAATATGAATCCATGGCCCCCTTTAGGGAAGCACTGCAGATGAATGGGAGAAGGAAAGTGAAGAGCAGTAGCTCATGCTCTTCTGATATGCATATAATTCCCGGTCATCATGAGAGGCCCTCCCATTGCTGTTTACCTTGAGATGACCAATGTTTTCTAGCGGAGGTTTTGGGAGGAAGAGGACTATCACTGCATTTCTTTCTTTGTTGTGAATGAAGAAATGGAGTAGCAAGCAGAAGTGAGAAAGCAAAAGAGAAGACAGATAACAGATATGAGAGACAGTGCAGAATTTTGTAGGTGTTATCTGAGGAGCAGAGAGAGGAATAAAGGTTTTATCATGAAATATAACTGGGCATGCAATGAGTTAGGGTGATGGTTCACAATGACAATGCTTTGTAAATTCAAGTGTTATACTTACCAACTAGCAAAACAAGTTCAAATAGGAAAAAAGAAAAGAAGAAAAAATGTCTATGAGAGATTCTGTAAATATTTACCTTTTAAAGTGTTCAGTGTACTGGTGGCATGTTATCCTAATCACTCAGATATAAAATCTCTAGAGCTGCATTGTCCAATATGGTAGCCACAGCCACATTGTTTAAATTTAATTGAATTAAAATGAATTAAATAAAAATTAGTTCCTCAGTACACTAGCCATATTTGAAGTGTTCAACAGCCACATGTAGTTAGTGGCCTCCTCATTGGACAGTGCAGATATAGAACATTTCCATCACCATAGAAGATTTTGTTAGAGAGAACTGCTCTACATTATGACAAACTCGAAGAATATTTTCCTCAAAAACAGTTCTTCCATGTCTTCCTCACTGCCTTCAGAGTGAAATCTCCCTTCCTCAACAGTGTCAAATTAGGATTTTGTGTGTGTGTGGTGTATAGTTATCAATATTTCCTAAAAATTTAGCAAATTATATTTGTGGTAATATATTCAATATTCCCAAACTCTATAAATAATTTACAGTGGATAGACCTCAATTTTAGATGTAAAAAAATGTAGTAACAACCTACATTT